GTTTTTTTCTTATCAAATAATAAAAATGTAGCAGGGTGTTATAGGCTTAAAATATTAACAATGAATATTTTGATAATATATAGTAGAAAACACCAACTTTATCACTCCCTAATCAAATTTGCAGCATGAAAATAACACATGTTGCAATTGCAGCATATCAACCTATTTTGATTTCAATGCAAAATAAGTCTATAACGCATAGGTGGATGTAAAAAATAAAATCCATAAAAATTGTTTTTGTTAATCACAGCTGTCAAAATACGTTTAAAATAGTTTTGCGTAGTTAAGGTTTTCAAAATGCGTAGAGGAAAGGTTATTAGTGAGAAAATTCAGTTACTGATAATTAAATGTTTTAATTCTGGGAAATCAAACTCAGAAATTGCAACTTTGTTAGACTTATTGCGGTACAGTGTGAGAAATATTGTTAGAAGATATAACGTAACTGATTCAGTAAATATTAAGCCACGATATGTGAAAAAAAGTAATATCACAAATGCCGACCGAAGAGCATTAAGAAGAATAATCGTGAAAAACAGGCGTGCCAATAATTATTTACAATTAAGTGCTCTGTGGTGTGACGCTGTTGGAGGATAAAAAAAAGTGAAGTAAAAACCCTAAAGTTGCACAACTTGTTTATAGGCCAAAGAAAAGCCACTATTAACTCCACTGCAAAAGAAAAATCGCCTTAGATGGGCTAAAGAACATAGACAATGGACACCTCAACAATGGTGTGCAATACAATGGAGTGATGAGGCCCGATTCGAAGTTTGTGTTGGTGACAGTTGCAGTAGAGTTATTCGCAAAAAAATTAAGCACCCCATGTTGACTGTATGAAGAGAAAAGTGAAATCGCTTTTACCAGTGATGGAAGAATGTTTGACATCCGGCCAAGATTTTGTGTTTCAGCAAGATGGTGCAGCGGGCCATACCTCAAAAAAGGCATAAAGTAACATTTAGACATAAGACCGTAAGACGAGTGCTCTTGTCGCGCATCATCAACAAAGTTTCTGGTCCGGCATCTTTCCAGAAAACTGGGAAATTTCCCAACCCATCCCAAAAAAGGGATGTAAGACCGACCCTTATAACTACAGACCTGTAGCTCTGCTTTCTGTTATAAGTAAGGTGATGAAGAGCATCTTAAATCGCGAGCTTCTGGACTACCTCGAACGTCTCGTCTGGCTTCCAGCACCAGTGATCCACAAGGGACCTCCTAACTCCACGTCACGCAATTGTGGAGTAAACTCATCCGGTCTTATGGCGAGGCTCATGTCGTTGCTTTTGATATGACGAAAGCGTTCGATCAGCTGTGGCATGCTGCCCTCTTATACAAATTTCCATTCTATGGCTTCCCAGAGAAGCTTTCTCTCTCGCCGCAAGATATTCGTAGTAATTGACGGGTTCTCCTCTTCATCCCATAACGTCAACGCAGATGTTCCCCAAGGATCGGTCTTGGCTTTGACACTGTTCCTCTCACAAATCAAAGACCTCCTTTCCTGTAGGATCAACCCAATCCACACCTTTGCTGCTGACAGCACTCTACATGCAGGAATTCAGTGAGCTGGAAATAAGAAGATTTCCTCTCTAACGAGAGACCTGGAGGCTATTACTGCCTGAGGACTCAAGAATCTTGTACAGTTTAATGCTTCCAAAAGACAGTACTGTACCTTGACGAAAAAAAAGCGTCCTAGTGCTCATCTGGTTTCGACGGGTGGCCGTATTCTTCCAAAGAGCCATTCATTTCGGCTGGTCGGAGTCCAGGTCACCGAGGACCTGATCTGGCACGAACACATCTCGTCAATAGCGGCAGTTGCTAGAAAAAAGCTATGCTATTCGTTTAGGGCTAAGAAGTACTTTTCTTCGTATGACCTTCTCACTCTATACAAGGCCCAGATAAGGCGTAGCCTCGTGTATTGCCACACGTTTGGGGTGCTGCCGCCCCAACTACATTATATATGCTTGATGCTGCACAGAGACTGATCGTTGACTCTTCTCTAACATACAGTCTCTGGACTCTTTCGCACCAGGGGGCCGTCGGCGATCTAGCTCTCGTCCACCGCTACACCAACGGGCTTTGCTCCTCAGAGCTCTCTCCTATCCTAACCGTGTCGGCCTTCGTACATCCGGAGCTGGCCGATACAACCGCTCCTTTGCCGCGAGCGTGTCGAGATTGTGGAGCAATCTACTGGAGGACGTTTTTCCCAGTTCCACTAACCAGTTCGAAAATCGGATTAACAAAGTTTCTTTGTGACCCTCATAGTAGCCGCGGCATCCTGGCATTTAGGCTTCTGCCTGCGCGGCTGCATTGGTGTAAAAAAACTTAGCTAGTACGCGGTCTTCTAGTTGACCTAAATGGTAGATCCGTCCATGCAAACATCTCTATAAACGTGTTTAGTGTAAAAAATAAAATATTGTGTTCAGATATTTAACTACTGCACTGCTTTCGTACACCTCGCACATCTCACAAGTTGTTTGTATCTTCTGGAAGGTATTAATCACTCTCAGAAAAAGAACTTTATATGGCCGCAGATTATTTTTTTGCTGTTGTTGATGAACGTGATCTCGTTGTAAGATTTATTAGGTTGATCTACTGATTGAAAAAAAAAACAGTGACAGAACTCACTTTTTCCTACAGAGCTTCACATCGCAGTTAAAGTGAGTTGTTTTTTCATCAGTATTACACATTTTACAAAATTAAATAGACGTCAAAAAACTAAAGTTGGAAATTTTATGTCAACTATTCAAAATATATCAGTAGGGGTGCCACAGAGGACTAAATGTATATACAGAGTGTTCCATAATTATTGCGACAAAATGATAGGTGTTGTAGAGGGCATCAAAATGAACAATTTTGCCTTATAAACCCCTGTTCGGAAATATGCCGTTTGGGCTGCAACAAAAAAAAAGATCAGTTTCTTGAAACAGCTTACCTACAGTAATTGCTCAAAGTGTCCTCCACCTTGCTCAATACACAGTTGTGCACGATTGTTCAGTGATCGGCGAACTCTGTGGCATACCCCTGGTATGTCCTGAACATGTGCGGACGCGGCCATCATTCTTCCCAGTAGCTCTTGTTGGTTGGGAACAGGAGTTTCGTACACTAAAGCTTTCAGATGGCCCCAGAGAAAATAATCCAGTGGGGTCAGGTCGGGTGACCTCGCAGGCCAAGGAACAGGGCCACCTCGACCTATCCACCTATTTGGAAATTTGTCGTCCAAATACTGCCGCACTTGTAAAGAAAAGTGGGCTGGAGCGCCATCGTGTTGAAACCACATGTTGGCTCTTATGTTCAGTGGCACATTTTCTAATAGTTCCGGTAGCACATGCTGTAAGAATCGACCATAAGCATGCCCATCCAAACGTGGTGGAAGCAAATATGGCCCGATGATATGCTCGTCCACAATGCCGTACCAGATGTTAATTGAAAACTGATGTTGGTCTCTATGGATGGCTATGGCATGAGGGTTTTCTTCATCCCAAATGTGACTGTTACGGCTATTAAAATAACCGTCCTTTGTAAAACAGGACTCGTCAGTGAACAAAACGTAGCGACCAAAGTTTGGTTTCCTCAACTCCACGAATCCTTGCAAAAATGGCGTGATGCGGATGAGGACGTTCTGGAAACCGTTGGGCGTAGATTCGCGAGGCTCGTCTTCCGTTACCACCAGCTTCTTCGTAAATTAAATGCATATCCGCAAGTTCCGCATACGAATAACGCTGCATTTTAACACTAAGGTACTGTTATTTACTATCTAGTTTGACGCACCACTCAGATAAATTAAATGAATCGGTGTGGAGAATTTACGATAACAAAAATGTAAACACAGCAGGCTTTTTTTACAAACCGGCGAGACCATGAAATGTGCTAGACGAACATTTTGCAGCTGGTAAATTTTTTGTTTCTCCTATGAGCTCTTAAGGTAAAATTAGCGGTAGTGCTCAAACGGCATATTTACGAACAGGGGTTTATAAGGCAAAATTGCATATTTTTATGCCCTCTACAACCCCTATCATTTTGTCGCAATAATTATGGAAGACCCTGTATATATGAATATATTTAGAACTGTTAGATAGTGATATTGAAAAAATTATGAATTGGTTAAATGTCAATAAACTTAAATTAAACACTAATAAAACAAAATGTATGTCAATAGAGAAACATTTAGGTGACAGCACAATTAGGCTCATGATTAATGATGAAAAAATTGGAGTAGTCGAGTCATTTGAATATCTTGGTATATATGTGGATAGTAAGCTACTGTTTCACGAACATTATGAATACATTATTTCAAAAATATCGAAAAAGATAAATTACTTCTATAGAGTTTTCCATAATCTTAGTATGTATTCACAAAAAATTGAATATAACACTATAATTCTTCTCCATTTTTTATATTGTAAAACCATCTTGTTTACAGCAAATGAAAACATATTTTCAAAACTGCAGTGGTTAGATGTGAAAAATTTCATATATTATTTAGTTCATCACTCACTTAGAGAACTTCACAAAATTAAATAGTCATTATCATAACTACGAAACTAGGGGCTGTATAGATTTCCATCTGCAAAATTGTAATAGTAGCACAACTAGTAAATCGATATTTCAAAAGGGAGTATTTGGATTTAATAAATTGAATAATGATATTAAACAGAGTTCGAATTTAAAAATGTTTTAGGTGAAATTAAAAAATCACTTTATGAACAATGAAAATACATAGTGACGTAATTTCAATTTTTAAAGACAAGAATGTAAAATTACAGAAAATGGATTGAAGAAAAATATGTAACCGAATCATTATACAAAATTGACATGGTAGCATTAAAGCTAAATAAATCTTCAACAACAACAAAAACTGTAAATTCCACACAGACGTACTACTATGAGTCACACCGTTTCTATCACACCCGATAAGTGGCAAAGTATATTGATAAATAGATATTAGATACCAGTTTTACAAAAGGAAACGTTATTGGAATTATATAATTTGTCTATATTTGTTTCAGGGTACATCCAGACGTACAAAGGGCGGTGGCGCACCACCTCCAGGAAGTGATGGATGCAGTAAAAATGCGTGAATGTTCTAAGTTTGTTTGCAAAAGACGTTTCTTTCTACCAGCCCCAGCAGCGTAGTGCTACTACGTTTCAACTGTAATGCCTCTATAAATAGAAGTTTGAAACGTATACACCTGAAGACCAAAATAATCGACAAGTACCTATATTATAATATTAATAGAATTTTGCCTTAATGACACTCCTAAATTATTTTTCGCTCATGTCGTTGATATCAAGGAGTGCCGAGTTATTTACCCTTCTAATCTAATATAGGTAGCAAATAAGTTTCGAGCAGGGGAAATTTTGTAAAAATCAACTTAACCTTTTTAATAGTTTGTACGAAATAAATAGTTTAAATGAGGTGGACCATGAAAGGCCACTATAAATAGACAGTTATTATTTCTTTATTTACTGGATAATTGAGACAAACAAATTATTAATTAATAATTTATTTTATTAAGTATTTTATTAAACATTTAGCATTTATGTTTTGTTACATTCTCTGTGTTCTTCAATTCGATAGGTGGCAGTGTGAGTTATCATTGCATGACTTTTTAATAATCGCCGTTACAAGGAGCCAAGGCCTTCCTTGGTCCACCCACCTTACTGACTTTTCAAATAAATACGAGTGAAATCTAGTTTGGGATGGAAAGAAATTGGACATTTTCGCCTATTTGACCTGATTATCAGGTTTTGTTTAATACTCTCGACTCGACTTGATTTATTGTAACTTGTACATAGAAACTCGTGCTCTTTGGAGTTGTATATAACTTCCTTTGAGCAATAAGTACTCAATTGATATCGGATCCGTAATAGTTATGGGTGAATTTTCTTGTTCCTTAAAAAATAATATGAGTCCGTAGAAGTCTGAAAGCAACTAGGTCAAGTCGTAAAATGTTTAAAAAACCTTATTAAAATTCCATGCTTTTCTGGCCAAGTGAAAATACCAACGTCCCGGCCACTTCGGTGGCCTTCTACAGACTAAAAAATGGCATTCAATTCCATCCATATGAAAGGTTCCAGGTGTTATATTTAAAACCTTATTTCTGATGATGGGACCCACAATAGAGTAAAAATAAACCGTAATACGTACAAGTTTGATGCAACGGTATGCAGTTCAGTTTTAGACGTTTGAAAAATTGTCAGGACATGAACAATAAAACTCACCCTAAATATAATAAGTACCTACTCGAATTTTTGTAGTTTCTCATGAAACGTTGTATATATAGGGGGTGAGAGAATATTCTTAGGACTATATCATTTCAATTTTACGTAAACTCAACAAAAGTCACAATAATTCTTGCAATAATAGCTGTATTAGTTACGTCGCTGCTGGGACACTAACATTGCTCATAATACCATACATTAACTGACTGAACTAGCTTAGAAAGTTGAAATGATATATTTACTTACTTCGTGATAATATTGTAAATAGTTGCTATTTATATTTTTATATTAATGTTATTGGAGGAAAATTGCTATTTTCCCAATATGCACTGGATGTTATTATGAGGTACCAATTTGTAGATATCATTTAAGAAAAATTGTATCATTGTTCAATGTAGATAATAAATTTTTTTTATATATCAATCATGGCTGACTTTGTGGTTATTTACTCATTTCCACAAATTTTGATTAAAAATGTGTAGAAGTGTATTTTGAAAATGTTCACTCTGTAAAGTTAAGCATCTTTTACTTTACACATTTATAAGTTGTAACTGAAAATTAACATTGAGAAAAGTAATTTCTAAAAACCGTATAGTCCTGATTTGAAAAATAGTTGTCAAACCACATCAATAGTAAAAACTGTCACTGAACAGTTAATACATCATTCTTGAGTAAATATACAGAATATAAAGCAGTTACATAGTTTTTAATTATTCGGCGACCAAAATTGTTGACGTACGCTTCTTTTTTGCTCCCTTTCTTCTTCCATCATCATCATTATCCCAAAAGGCAACCCATTCTAGAAGGACTCCATTTCTTTTTATCTGCTTTTCCAATTAACCTTCTGGTACATGAAAGGGATTTCAGATCAATAATGGACAGTAGATATAGACAACAGATACGGTTTCAGTTTGCGCGTCTAAAACCAAAAATTTGTTTTTCCGATAAAATTTCGATTAAACATCATGAACCAATTTCATGAGAAGAGCGAACTTAGAATCTTATTGTTGATCTCACCACGTTGAACAAAAGCTTCCAACGGCCCGAAATATACTAAGTGACATATAAATCCGAACACCCAGTTTAAATGGTTTTATTTTAATAAAATTTTGTATAAGTACTTAATGATCTTGGTGGCCATGGTAACAATGTGACATCATTATGTTGAAAGAAGTCTATTGTGACTCTTGCAACATGTGGTCGGGCATTATCTTGCTGGAAAGTTGGATCTGCCAGGGTGTCAAGATAGGGTAAAAGATGGGGATCTATAACCTCGTTGATATAACGCTGCACGTTCATGTTACCTCTTATGAAGATTAAAGGTGACCTGGAACCATAAGCTATAGCACCCCAAACCATAACTCCAACAGTGTGATGAACATGTCTTTCAACAAAAAACTGTAGATTCCTCCTTTCACCACGTCGCCTTCTAACCCTGACACGACTATTGTGCATGCTTAAACAAAATCGAGACTCGTCACTAAAGACAATACTATTCCATTCCTGATCCCAGATGACCGTTGTCTGCACCACTCAAGGCGATTACGTCGGTGTTCTCGAGTTAAAGGGAGGACCCAGTGTGGCCGGTATGAAAACAAGCCAAAACTTCTCATTCGTCGGTAAACACTTCGCATGCCAATAGGTCTTCCGTGTTCTGCAAACCATTCATTTGCAATGGACCTGGTAGTGGAGAAACGGTCCCTTAAGGCCCATAATCTTAGGCGGCGATCTTCACGGTCTGTTGTTCTACGGCGGCGTCCAGTGCCCCTTGCTCTTTGCGTACCGCCTTCTCGAAGCCTTGCCTGACAACACCTAACCACAGTGTCTACACTTCTTTGCACTCTAACTGCAATTGCCCGAAAAGAAAGTCCAGCTTCCCGAAGTCCCACTAAACGGCCCCTATCAAACTCACTAAGTTGACGAAATCGTACAGGTCTCCGTACTCTAGGCATCGTAACCGATCGTAAAGGATGTCAAGAACCAAAATCCGCCAACGTTGATTCTTTACTGCGGCTGAAATATTCATTTTTAGAGCGTTAGTGAATTAAAAAAAAGCAGTAAAGAAACCGGAATGTCCAACTGATAAGGCTGAACATTTTTTCACTTGTTATTTACAGTAAGATAAATACATTCACCAACTTTTATTAAAGTAAAACCATTTATATGTTCGGATTTATATGTCACTTAGTATATTTACATGAGAGAAAGGGATAATGAAATTGACATTTTGAACTACATTGCAGTCAGTGCGACTGTGATTGATGACTGAAAATCTCTAATGTGCATCTGTTTACCACCACTATATAAAATAAATACTTGATGTTTTGTTCGAATACTCCAACCGTTACAAAGATCAAAACTGAATCTTCTTATTATAGTTAAAATTAGAGGCCATAAGACACTATACTACTATACTACTACAAATGCTTCTAGGGAGTGCGAATTTTATCATTTCACAAGTTTTTTATCTCTACGAGTATGGTATTACGATCATGCAGTATGTTCCTTCAAAAGTATGAACATGAACTTTAAGATTATTACAATCACGCAGTTCAAAAATAGCGACCCATAAGCCAACAACATGTGATGTAGATGTCATTAAATGATCCAAATCACCTGAAATTAGAAAACCTGCTCGCTAATGTGGAGACTGGAGACGTAAAAATAATAATAATTGGAATTGCGAGTCCCATCGGCGTTTTTCATCCAGTATCCAGACTATAGCGTTCTCACAGTGACGTATATTTCCTGTATAAACACACTTGATCTAATTTTAAAACGCCATACTTTCCACACAACTACGCCGACATCACAATCTAATGTAACACGGGATTAGTTTAGCGTAATTGCGGCGAATTAAAAAGGACAAAACAATGTTCATTAAAAAAAGTTACATTGCCGATGCAATACAGTGTTCGTGAAACTTCTCGTTGCAACGATGCAGAAGTGAGTATTTAGAGTCGGTCTCTAAATTAAGACGCATCTTGACCTAATTTCTTTCCAGATTCAGAAGCTTCGGGTCAAACGAGATTGACACGAAAGCGAAATGGATGATTTTCGTTGTGTACCTGTTGCTTATAGGGATTTTAGTGCTGGTGTCTCTGATTGTTATTTACTTTTATTTTCCACATATTCTCAATCTCAAACCTAAAGGTAAGTGTTAGTTTTAGCGCTAACCTAAACCAACGTTAAGTAAGTGTTGAAAACATGTGTTAGCTTGCTTGTTTATCTTCCATTCGATGTGTGGAGTAAATCTCATCAACACATCAACAGATTAATGGGCATTCAGTCAACACTTTCACTGGAAATTTAAATGGACTGCAATTAACTAGGAAGAAAAGCACAACATAGTAGATTTCACGTTGCGGAATTAATAATTATAATCAATTTACAGATTCTAACAAACTTCGACATTTTCAGATGATACTTTACTGATGCTCATGGGTTCTATCAAATGCACACCGAATAAATTAATCTTTTGATAAAAGCTAAATCTAAAGACACTTTATTATATGTCATCTTGTCAATCTACAAGCATGCACTTCTTTTTCTGTACTTCGCTGCTTTTCCGACAATTTTGTTCAGTTGCTGTTACCCTGTGCTGAGGTAGCAAAAGATTTCGGACTCTTGTACTGTAGGTATAATCGTTTTGCGTAGTAAAATTATTTCTATTTGCTACTATGAACATAACACATTCGAAATGTGAAGTATGTACATATACTGTCATCAGACCCACAAACGTGAATACCCCCATCTTTCGTTAAATTTCATGTGTCATTGCTCTACTGACCTTTTTACTTCCCACGCCACTGGTCGAAGTAGTATTATAATCGCGAGAAATTTCGAAAATAAGATATTGCATTTTTTGGATGTTATATGACATGTACATCACGAAAAACCATGTGACTCGTTTCTGTCGGTCGGTCTGCCTGTCTGTCTGTCGGTCTCTGTCCGCAAATCCGGGGGTCGTATATAACTTGAGATGTACCGCTCGAATTTTATTGAAACTGTCATATAAGATTACTAATATGCCAAGGTCGCAAAGACTTTGTAATTTTTGAAAATTGGTCCAGTGGCGTTTTTTGACGTTTCAAATGATTCTGGTCATTTTCAGTAAAATTCTTGTAGCGTTTGAAATCCGGGGGTTGGGGGTTGTTGCGGGAATATGAAATGTTTTTGATCTTAGTATGTTTATACCCTCCCAGCCCGGCAAATCTATGCACATATTACCCATATTTCACACATCAGAGATTTTCCCGTACATTTGCCTTTAAAACATTGAAAGATACAGAAATGTTGTTTGGTCCGCGTATCTACTCCTTATATCTAAGCTCACCGCCCGACGAACCAGTCCAGCTGACTAATCTATCCCACAAGATATCATATCCGTACTGCAGCGCAGAGGAACATATACACGGACTATGCACAAAGTAAACGGTAAATTGCTGGTGCGCGCCGTGCTTGGCGCTGCCGCATAGATGTGGAATGGGACAACGTTTCCAGATGGACAGTAACTACCGGTAGGGTAGGAATAATTTGAGATTAGTGGTTTGATCTCTACTTATTTGTCACAATACGTTCAGGCGATCGCCATCCACGCATTATCGGAATTGATGATTGACTTTTTGGCTTGTGTTTACATTTCAGGTTGCTATGCCACCTTAGGATTATGATAAATCAATTATGCTGGCGTCTAGCGTCATAGCCAGAAGGCAAGAACAAAAACCTTCTTAGCTTCTGCTAAAGAAGTCGGTGTCGCGAAAGTAATATGAATGTCTCAATGTAAATAAATCTCCATAAACTTCTCTAAAGCCAAAGTGACGTTAATAATGCTTGTGCCTCCCTGTACTCTGACTCCCCCAAAACAAAAATCTCTATTCAAATCCAACACCTCCACTTTGACCCAAATCTCCCATTCCTGGAATAGAAGGTCTAAATGTAGATTCGTACTGTTTCCTCACTTTGTATGTCAGATGTATGAATGAATGTAATGTTAGTCATCCATAATATATTGAAAAAGTGAGACTGATGCCGAAATAGTACACATCTGTTTTGTATTAAGCTTTTTTATTCGACTGGAAACATATGTTAACGGTTTTTGTTACGTTGTTATGAAAGACCGCTAACTGATGATTTAAGAAGTCACATCGTCACAGATCGTGCTATTCAATATCCAAATAGTTATCGTTTTTTATACTGTTTGCTAAACTTTTATTGTGATTAATTCAAAGCATCACTGACTGAATAAAGTATAAAAAATAACGATGAGATATTTAATAATGATAATAATAATGTATCTTTATTTTTGGGTTAAAACAAAAAAACGTATTTGATGAGGGAGGCGGCATTCAACACCGCTGCTCTTCCATGCAACCCCCGTATGTAATTGTTGTCTTCTAGTTAGCTAGGTGATCTACCTGCTAGAACAAATTAGATATCATGTGAATGGGTATAACATATTTTTAGAACCATCCTCACCTACGAATTAAGAATATCTAAACATAAGCTTCGAGTATTTAAGCCAAAGATTTCTTTCTAAAATCATCATTACCTGGATACATGATGATATTGATTAATGTTAAACCAGAAAGCTGTAGAGAGTGTATACTGCTGTCATGCCAGAACGCAGCAAGAAATAAGAAAATGTGATATCCCATTGTACTACGAAAGGCATGTAGAAGAAGCATATTTCGATGATAAAATACAGTGTACATAATTATATGATTAATACCGAAAATCTAATTTTTTTTATTTACAGTATCTAGCATTAGTACTATCATCTTAAATTAAAATACAGTATTTTCACATCAGTAAATGGAAAAAAACGCAGTAAATGACCCGTACTTATTGTATTCTTGCTTAGAAGCCATACAGATACTGTGTTTTGATTTATATATAATATCCCAATAATAATAACCAAAGTAATGACGCTAGCAGGTACACTAATTTAGAATTTAGAATATGATTAATTATTACTTTCCGTCATTTAGTATATTTGTAAGGATACTATAAAATATTTTTATAGGTCTCATATACTAAAGACTTTATATGCCGAAAGTGCGATAAGCATCTCGTAGTACTTACTGTGTTATTAATTAAAGAAACAACACTTCAGACAATTCTGAAGTAACGGTATATGCATTTTTTATTTATAGATAGGTATCTTTAGTAAAATTAATAAATTCGTTAAAAAATATCAATTTGAACCGTGCACAAACCAAAAGTATTATTTTTCCTTAAAACGATACAATTTGTGAAGGTTTGCAACACGTTCCCCTCGCTCCTGTAAAATGTGAAATTAGCATCTTCTGGCTTATGAGGGCAGTATACACTTCTCGAGAGTCGAAGATTCAAATTAACGTCTATATTTCTCTGTTAATTTTTGCTGGGATACATGTAGCATAAAAAGACGTGTGCTTTTGTTTCCATAAATATATGACTTCAAAGAAGGCAAGAAACTACGCATTTACAGAAAATAAAAGATTACGATACGCTGTTTAATATAATCAGCTCTGGCAAGCATGAAATATTTGATTTCGTTTGCTCAAATTGCAGTTTTCATAGCCAGACTTCAAACATTTCAATTTTGTTTACAACAGATGAAATCCGCATCTCAAACAGATTGGCAAGCTGAATACTTCAACTCATTATACATTCATATCACAGTTGCGCGGTAAGCTCACAGTCATGTGTAATAATTTGTGAAGATAATTCTTGGAACATCAAAAAAAGCTTTCATTAAATCCTGATGATTAAACCAGTAGATCTCAATACCTGTGGGAGACACAGCTTAGCTTAAATTAGGAAAACGTTGCGTTCGTTGAGGCGCATTTACATGTTGTTAAGAAACTTGTGAAAAAACCATTGCTTACTGAGATATTTTGGAAAACCCCAAATTTGGCAAAATCATTTTTATCTTTTCTGACTTTATTTTAAGGAATATCAAAAAACTTGCCACTTTTTAGGCACTATATGATGGCGTTTTTAAATTTTGTGCCCAACGGTTCGTTTTGGAAAAACTATCATCTTTTTTTGTATATGGTCCGAAAAAAATTACACCCTGTATCTAATAGTATTTTTAAATACGAATTGGGTATTATTAATATTGCTTTATTAAGTAACGGTATATGCATTTTTTATTTATAGATAGGTATCTTTAGTAAAATTAATAAATTCGTTAAAAAATATCAACTTGAACCGTGCACAAACCAAAAGTATTATTTTTCCTTAAAACGATACAATTTGTGAAGGTTTGCAACACGTTCCCCTCGCTCCTGTAAAATGTGAAATTAGCATCTTCTGGCTTATGAGGGCAGTATACACTTCTCGAGAGTCGAAGATTCAAATTAACGTCTATATTTCTCTGTTAATTTTTGCTGGGATACATGTAGCATAAAAAGACGTGTGCTTTTGTTTCCATAAATATATGACTTCAAAGAAGGCAAGAAACTACGCATTTACAAAAAATAAAAGATTACGATACGCTGTCTAATATAATCAGCTCTGGCAAGCATGAAATATTTGATTTCGTTTGCTCAAATTGCAGTTTTCATAGCCAGACTTCAAACATTTCAATTTTGTTTACAACAGATGAAATCCGCATCTCAAACAGATTGGCAAGCTGAATACTTCAACTCATTATACATTCATATCACAGTTGCGCGGTAAGGTCACAGTCATGTGTAATAATTTGTGAAGATAATTCTTGGAACATCAAACAAAGCTTTCATTAAATCCTGATGATTAAACCAGTAGATCTCAATACCTGTGGGAGACACAGCTTAGCTTAAATTAGGAAAACGTTGCGTTCATTGAGGCGCATTTACATGTTGTTAAGAAACTTGTGAAAAAACCATTGCTTACTGAGATATTTTGGAAAACCCCAAATTTGGCAAAATCATTTTTATTTTTTCTGACTTTATTTTAAGGAATATCAAAAAACTTGCCACTTTTTAGGCACTATATGATGGCGTTTTTAAATTTTGTGCCCAACGCTTCGTTTTGGCAAAACTATCATCTTTTTTTGTATATGGTCCGAAAAAAATTACACCCTTTATCTAATAGTATTTTTAAATACGAATTGGGTATCATTAATATTGCTTTATTATCGCCAAAGATGCCAGACGGTCATTTTAGCAATGAAGGTGCACCTGCTGACGTGTTACATTTTGTGATAAATTTCTCGAAAGAAGGCAATCAAGTAAGTCCATTTTCTTAGAGTTGGTTCGGAATTGGTTCATTCAAAAAGCCTGTTACGTCCCGAAAAAAGGAATCTTCAGAGAAAACTTTGAATATTATTTTACAGGCAGCAACAAAGATATCAAGTAGGTAAATTGAGAAAAGTGTAGGAGTAGCCAAATCGACAACCCAATTTATTTTGCGTAAAAATATATATGTCAGGATTTGCCAACGACTTCGACCAGGGGATAGCGAATGACGCCAGCATTTTTGTGAGTGGTACACTCAAAAGTGTGAAGAAGATTTTAATTTCCCTTCAAAAATATTATGGTCCGACGAGAGTATGGTCACTAATAATGGTGTCCTTAATCGCCTCAAGCCTCTTCTTCTTTTGAAAGAGTCTATTCGAATATCTAATAAAATATGGAACATCTCTTCTAAGCAAATATCAAAATAAGTCAACTTGTTCATACGGAACGTGTTATATTTCATTGCACATTCAGATGGATCATTCCAAAAGAAGAATATTGATATAACATACCGTACCGTTTTGATGGTTGCCGATTTGTAAGCGATTCAATGTACAAAAGCGTTGCCACTTTTAAAATGGCATGAAATAGCCTATTGTTATGTTGCTTTTTTTCAACCCGCACACTCCTAACAACATTAGAAATGCGAATGCCTATTGATTTTAACCGATATGATCCAATTTTTGAACATCAATGTACATTCGTTAATGCCTTACATATATCGGCTTTCACTTCGCGTTTCATATTGAATACATCATTCTCACTGGTTGTGTCATAGTGTACTTGATCACAGGTGACAACAGCACATACTGCGATACAAGCGAGTGTTTGGAAACAGCGTGGAGAATAACGGCTGGATTGGATCTGGAAGCTGAGCCATGCGATAACTTTTATCAGTTTTCTTGTGGGAACTGTGCGAAAAATGTTTGCCGCGTCGAAAAGGGCAACCAAATCGAATATTTGATCACGGAATCCATAAGAGATGAAGAAAAGGAACCGTTACTTAGTTTGAAGAAGCTCTACCAAACATGCAGCAGCTTGACAAGTGCCAATATCGAAGTTGATGAAGAATTTTGGAATCTTATCAAGGAGCTTGGTGGTTGGCCAATCTTGCAAGGCTCCAAATGGACATCATTCGATTTGAAGGAGGCAATATTGAAGTGCTTCAACTTAGGGTTGCCTTACGAGTGGATCATAGAGATTGGTACATTCCGTACATGGTGGGAAAAGCTTGAGGTGAGATGGAATATTATTTGTTGTGAAATCATCTACCATATTCATGAAGTCTCCTTCCATTGTCTCTGAAATGATCCAGAATATTCCCATCGGCGGTACAGTGAATTTTCAACATAATATTACAACCACGGGAGCTGTCCTTATTTATTTAATGCTAAGCAGCGGCGCAGTTACCGGTGTTTCAATAGTATACGGTACATTTTTAACTCAACTTCATTGCTATTGCTTCAGATTTCTGGATTAAGCGCGTTTGCCGCATTGGGCCTTAATTTAACGACAGAGATAAAAGCGAACTAAAACAGCAGTTACTACCTATTACCAGAATCGACCACTATGAAGTGAAGATAGTAAGCCGTCAGTTCGCTAGTTCGCATTGCCAGCCGAGACACTACTGTGGTCGCTAGAAACCGCCGACTCTGGCGCTATAGTAGATACGGTCTACTCCTCAATAAACACATTATTAATGCAGCTTTCGTTAGTCGGACCACAGACGTCTAACCGTGAACAGCTGTTTCGTACTATTTGGCAACTCCTCAGCTTGCTATTCTTGTTTTCATATTGATCGTTTCTGGTAATAGGTGGCACTTGTGCTCTGATTCGAGTAGATTTGCTCAGCTTTTGTTTATTATCCACCGAGACCAGCCTACACCATGCTGAGGAGTTGCCAAAAAGCACTGAACAGCTGACCATGGTTGGCTGTCTGTGGTCGGACAAACGAAAGCTATATTATTAGTCGCCCCAGATTCATGAATACAGTCTATTCACTGAATCAAAGCAGTTACGTCACAACGTCAAATAATGACAGCGACGCACATGGTTGTCACATTAATAAAAAGTAACCTAGGACGTTTTACATAATCTACTTTATGTCTTCGATGCCTCACTGCAACCAACATTACATTATGTTTTGTAGACGCTAGAGCTAGTATAAATTCTATTTACTACCTAATACCACTCTTACGGACTGTAAAGGCAATAATGGAGCTCCATGAACGAATTCTTTTGCTTGTTTTTATTTATTAACAATGCAAGTATTGACACAGAAAGAACGAAAATAAACCACAAATAAACAACAGCTGTTGGCGTAATTATACTACTATTTTACATTAAGTAAATTTACTAAATATGACGTAACTGCATTGTTTCAGTGAATAAACTATAGCTATTATTTATCAAAAAATGGGAACACAGTCTGTTCGATACATCAATTAACAATCATCCAGATTATTTGGGCTCAACATTCAGAGATTACGATAAGGGTGAACCTTAATTGAACAAAGCTATAAAAATTGGACCTTTCTCTACTGTAATTAATCTTCACAAAAAACAGGAATGTCTGCTAAAGTAATATTTTTTCATAATTTCAGTTTACTCCTCCTAAGTCACGTAACCCATTCCTCGAAGATCCATTTGCCGAATCCCTTTACACAGAATTAATCGATAGAACTGCAGAATCTATGGGTGCTTCAAAGGTGGAGAGGCTGGATGTGAGAAAGATTGTTCAACTAGAAAAGAGGATTAATCTGGTAATAAAATGTCTCTCAATATGCAAACAGATATAACATACTAGTACTTTTCACCTATGGAAGTCATGATGCTTATCTTTTAAGGAACTTAGCCTGTTAAAACACTATTATTATGCCATTGGTCTTCAGTGTGTGAGGTTCAGAGTAACGCCGATCATTGAACACCGAATTTTAGAATAAACGCAAACTGTTGTTCTGTTTGATAGCTATAATTTGGTGCATTCAGGAAATGACAAGTCTGTAACACTTTTTCTACTTCCAGCTGTCGAAGAAATACAACGATTTGAAACAAAGGCCTTTTAGACTACGAGAGCTCAAAAAAATAATTCCACGTCTCGATCTACAGGAACTATTTAATAATGTTTCCGAAAATGACATACACGATAACAGCTACATATTTTCAAATTACTATTTTGTGAAGGATCTTAGTCTGCTATTAGCTGGTACACCACCTCGGTAAGATAATAGGTGTAGTTAGTCTTTTAGCTCATAATAATACCCGTTTTACAGTTGAAAGAGCAAGAGAAATGTTGATCAGACGCAAGCGCACTAACAAAGCACTTGATTCTTCCTGTCATTCTCTTGCCGTTTTTTTGCATGAAAATCAATAATTTGTATTTTTCATGCAAGTTAGTTTGAAGTTCTGGTGGAATAATTAGTAACTTACAAGTTATCAATGCATGCAAATGTCCCTAGGCCGGTCCGGTGGTTTGTGTTGCTATATTTAGTTGTTTAAAGATATACGTTTAATTGTGCTTTGTTTGATGTTCGACGCTTGAAAATAATTTTTGGATATAAAAACCATGTGTTCTTAAGGGTAAAAATACAAAATCAAAATTATAGGTTGCTTTGAATCGAGGAAACATAGCGGTTTTGCAACTGCAAGTGATTGGATGCAATTGTCTTGCAGATAAAGCAATACCGTCTTGCAAGTGCAAGAATTTCCATGGAATGGTCTTGCGGACTATAAAACGGTTTTAATGTGTTTGAACGTATGAGATCAGCAAAAAGCAGAGATGATGCTGGACAAGCGAACTTACATATTGATACGAAAATCTCTGATTATATGTTCCAGAACGCAAGCGAACTATTTCATATGGAAAATCATCCAGTCTTTCGGCATTTATTTATCAGATCCTGTTGGAAAACACTTTAGAGATGTTTTGTACAGTTCAAATGAACGAAGCAGGACATGTATAGAGGACATCACATCCAGGTGAGCATTATACGTACTGTGATAATGAGATGTATTTAATAGACTCCAATACAAATTCTCACAACCTTCTACACTGGTATAAAAATAATTAGGCGGTATCTCAGTCTTTATTCCACTGATGTCGTACCTACGTATACATATTTTACAATGACGACAAACTGGACAATAACATTATTGGCCGGTCATGACGATATTGATGAGCATGGAACCTGATGGAATGCGTCGCTGATTTACGGAAAATTTTAATATATTGTAAAAACGGTAAGAAATACAACAACCGCATTGCTGAGGTTAAATATTCAAATAACAAACTCAAGGTTCCAAGCTGTAAGCATTTTTATTTCGTTACTTAGGATATCTTAATATACAGGGAGTCCTGAGACTTCGTTTTTCAGAGTCGACTACGGTTGCAATACCAAAGATAATTTGCGGCAAAGCAACACTCAAAACGTAAAAAAGAAATTGAATAAAAATGATCACTATTAATTTGGTAAGGATTTTCAAGTACTGCCTGCCACATCTTTTATTTGTAAACACTGCTTGCAGTTGTCGCTGTTCGATTCAAAACCACGAGTTTGTTTACATCTTCCTAAGTTTGGGCTATGCAGGTCTTCAACTGTGTTCAATCAGACGACTTTTGCACGATATAAACAAACATTCGCAGCTCTGATGGAAAGAAACATCGAAAACGACGGTGGCATTCTGAGTACCCCCGCGGAGTATCATTAGGGTCTTTTGAAGATGCTCATATGAAATCGATAACTACATTATTGCTCTAGCAATGTGTCAATTTCGGTTTTTTAAATGCTGTTTGTTCATAAAATAGGTTGTACTAGACACGACGCGATGCCTGATTTGGATACTGACTCACATAGTCTTACTACTTCAACATCATACGATTTGACTTAGGTGGACATTGTGGCAGTGGAGGGAGTATGGGTCGTACTCACTCATTTATTGCTTATCGAGTCCAAATATCTCAGTTGTCTTAAAGCTTTGGTATATATGTTACTAAAAAGTATGCTCAATATTACCTGTATTTGAAAAATCTTTTACATCATTGTTCTACTGACATGGATGTCCTATTAACGTCTTTATCGTAACATGTATATCTTATGTATAATGTACAACCAGGCTAAACAAAAATTGAAAGATAATCCTTCAAAGAAAATAGGTCCCATTATTACCTACTATATAGTAAAATTTTGTTTTAGTAAATCTCTTACAGTTTTGGAGATCTGCAGCATTTGATATGCTCGCTGAAAAATGAGCATTGTGCCAATTACTAAAGAAAGTTGATTGATAATTGGTAGTTTTAATGGTTCTGCTATTGTTGGTCATCTGTTGTCACTTTTTTAGTTGCAGTTATAATGGAGGAGGGCCAGTTTTCGGAAATACCATAAAATTAAATTTTATAGCTTATACATTAACAAAAAGAAGAGGGTTGATGCTGAAGAATAACTTATATCAAATTCATTCATGTTGTGAACACTAATGACTGTGCACACTACATTTTTTTCATAAAATATTATTTAACCTGCGAGAATACGAGGGATGTCTTTTAAGTTTTACATATAGAAACATAGTAGGCCGCGCCGATCGAACGTCAGTACGGAATCTTAATCTCACTCATTAGTAAACTTAAATTCAATACAAGTACAGTGAATTTTTAAGTGTCACCAAGTCATTAGAAAAATGGAACTCAACCGAGAACATATTCGCGCCATAATTTGTTACCACTTTCAGAGGCAATTATCGCCTTGCTGAGTTAGTGTCTGTTTTCGGCAACGAAGCGCCACATCAGTCGACAATTTCCCATTGGTATAGGGAATTCAAACGTGGGCGGGTGAATCTTAGCGACGATCCCAGGGTTGGGTGCACCAAAAACAGCAGGCACAAAGGAAAACGTCGATGCTGTGCGCAAGCTCATCATTGAAAATAGACATATGACATATCACGAGATTGAGGCGTCCTTGAAGATCTCAAAGACCTCAATTCAAAAAATGTTACATGAAGAATTAGGAGTAAAAAAATTAGTATCTCGTTGGATGTTGACTGAAGAGCAGACAGCAGCCAGGGTTAATTGGTGTCAAAAAACGCTTGACCGTTTCAATTCCGGAAACTCAAAAAATGTGTACAGCATTGTTAGTGAAGATGAATCGTGGATTTACTGTTATGAACCAGAAAATAAACGACCAAGGTGAAGAAAAGCCAACAAAAGTCATCCGTTCTCGGTGTTTCGAAAAAGATGGTCGCGACATTTCTGTCAAAAGCGGGTCATATTGCAACAATTCCTCTTAATGAGCAAAGAACTGTTACTGCGGATTGGTATACCACCATTTGTTTGCCAAAAGTCATCATCGAGCTTCGAAAAATCAACCCCGAAAGAAGAATCATCCTCCGCCAAGACAAAGCAAGCTCGCACACAGCCCAAAAAACAAGGCAGTATTTAACGGAAGGAAACATGGAATTATTGGACCATCCTCCATATAGTCCCGATCTGAGTCCTAACGATTTCTTTACTTTCCCGAAAATTAAAAACAGACTGCTGACCTAGCTAATTCAATCGCAGAATACTGCAGTCTAAGTGCTTTCTGAAGTGATGGTAGCTTATTTTAAGCAAGGACCGATAGGGGTATCTCACGTAATCTGGTAAGTGACATCATGGCGGTTTTTTACATTATATTGTTTTTTGACATTATGTTAGTTTTTTATGACTTCATGAAGGTTTTCCTACAAGACGTCAACTTGGAACTGACTGTCGCTCACTTCATGCTCGCTTGTAGCAAGCGCGGAATAAACTGTTTGCACACTAGCCTACCAAGTTGACATTTTATCAGTTATTTGACATTTTATAGGTTTTTAGGTAAAAACCCTGCGAATATTGATGAAATAGAAAGTTGTAGTTAATCAGCAGCTCTGACCTATTTTTCTTGTCAGTGATATGAGTTGTCACAGACGACATGAGGCACGAATAGCGAGCGTGACAAAACGCACAAGGCACTATAGTTGAGATGTAGTAGAAACAAAGGCGCTTCAACTATTACAGGCTAATTAACCAGAACATGAAAAACTAATTTACGACTAATTCATAATTAACAACCAAGCGACAGTTACTTGAAAGTTATCTTGCGATTGAAAAACTGGTCCTAAGACTTTTATCAATAAATAATAAATGAATATTTTGCCATATAGTATGTCATGACGTGACCTATTTACAGATTCTTCAATTCCTGGATACCATGTTTCTCACACAGGTAACAAATAGCGGGTGGGCACAGTTTGTTCTGTTTTCAAAATAAGTGGTGAAAGAGCAAGTGATCAACTGTGATTTTCATTTGAGTCATCTGAAAACATTAATGTAAATAAAATATGTCATAAAAAGACCGCGGCCCAGCGTATACTCATATACATCTACCGCTAGGAGGAATCTATTTCCTCATCAAAATGATCCGCAAATCTAAAGGAGAAGGAAGGAAACTCTAATATCTAAAGGCAGTTCTCAAAGACATTATACTTCGAAAAACTTTTAAGTATAATGTATGACTTCTCGGTGACATAGGGGTGGGAAATGAAGTCCGTCTCATATGGATACCAGGACACATAGGTCTAGAGGGAAACGAGACAGCTGACACTCTGGCAAAGAGTGGGGCTAGCACACCATTCACAGGGCCTGACCCACCGATTGGGATCGCATACGGTACGGCTAAACACATAATCTCTACAGAGATGGACAGAAAGGTCTATCAATACTGGAAGGGATTAGCAGGGTTAACCCATGCTAAGGCAACTATACCAATCTTGACAAAGAAGGTAACAGACTCTTTGCTACGGCTGAACAGGAATAGCCGCCTTAAAGCTCTAGTAGGACTGTACACTGGTCATTGCAAATTGTGTCACCACCAGACTGTGCATGGAGGGAGATGGAACGGTCAGACATGTATTGTGCAGATGCCTTACAATTGCCAGAATCAGGTACAACATACATGGAGACGTAGCACTCGAGGCAGAAGACCTGAAGGATATTTCTCCAAACAAGTTAATCGACTTCCTCAGGAGGTGGAGCTACTGGGGGAAATATAAATAGGTGTGAGCCACAATAGATCAAAGAGTTGCAGTGGAGGATAGTTATTGATGCACTCACAAGAAACCTAACCTAACCTAACCTGTATGACTTCAGAAGGCTAGAGTGATATGGGAATGACTCCAGTACCAGAAAAAGCAAATCTAGCCCTGTGTGTTGCACTAAACTCTAGGTGCTAATTACTCTTTTGTCAAATGTTCTTACACAAAGTTTACTTCGTAATTAAATAACTGGAATATCACTCTTATAGGTTTCCACAGACTGTCGGTGTGGCTTATGTCAAAGAAAAGTTAGACGACGAAATACACGAAGACATCAAATCATTGTTTGAAAATGTGAGAGAAGCATTCGCAAAGAGGGTAATGAACATCGAGTGGATTGATCCTCTGTTTAAATCAACTATTGAAGACGAAATTGAAATGATTTCACTGTGGCATTACACTGATCAGGATCCAATACCCGACACCAGTGAAGATGAGAGGGTTCGTATTTGGAAATAAAATATATACTTTGATGAGGTGTGTCTTTATTCTGTTTCTGATGGTGTCTTTGCTCATCACTGCATCAATATGTCACTTAATAAACGTTATTCCAGCTGCCCTCTGCCTCCAATTCTACAAGTATTATTTACATGATTCGACAGCAAAACCTTTACAAAAGATATAATTTGCTACCTAGTGAAAAGTGGACAAATTACTATGATATTTGCGAAAGAGATGGTAAACTGCAGTATTTATTCATAGACTCCAAAATTGGTAAGGGTTTGTGATAAGGTACAAGTAGGAGTGAAATATCTCGTAAGACCATTTTATGTCAGTCTCAGTAACATATTTTAATTAACATCTACAATTGTTTTTGAGGCGATAGAGTAATATTAGATTTTCATTGTTTGCCTGAAGTGTAAAAGTCTCAGGAGATTTGTACTCCTTGGATGTTCATCTCGTTACACAACTTCATGGTGGGTATCATCGAGTTTAATGGATACTTGTCACTGTAGCTCGGTTCTTGTACCCTCAAATTATAGCATAAATGCGCACATGAAATTTCCTCAATGTTTTTCCTATCATCATATGTTTTTATCTATCTCTGCCTAAGTACATTTATTTTAATATACCTCCAATCGTTGTCTCAAATTGCATATCTATTTATTCCACTAGAGTACTTTATATACAGGGTGTTGAAGTTCCCACCACGAATTTATCGGAAACCACTGATTAAAAGAAAAAAACTCCGAGACACATCAAAGGATTTGTCAAAGGGGACAACTTTTTAACCAAAAACTACTTCACCCCCTTTCACACTCGGCCCCCCAGGGTCATTCCCTTAAAAAATTTAAATGACAAGGGATTAAGTAATAGCTTGTTCGAAAGGTCTTTCCAAGTCCTTAATTTTGACGTTTGATTTTTTAAATTAGACGATTCGTTTAAAAAAAAAAATAAAAATGTTTATCTTAATTTGTTCAGATAAAAAAGAAAAACACGAAAATTTCACTTTTTATTTCAATAAGTGTTCAAAATTAAGGACTTCCAAAGACCTTTCAGGTAAGCCATTCAGTTGTAAATCGTTTCTGCATTTGTTTTCAGAGCCTGCTTTTGTCATCTTTGAGGTAAAAGAGGCCCTTAGTTGTTTCGCCGAATTTATTACTATGATCTAAAGAGATTGCTGCAATGTATCGAATTTCCTGAAACCTCATTTATCACTGCCCTTGTCACGTGTTTTCCATAAGTAGCTCCTTAGAAGCTTGAAAGTCGTACATAATTCAGCAATGATCGTTAATTGTGTTACGGCAATATTGCCCTTTACGGTTTTTCAGTGTTGCTGCTGTGAGCAACCCAAAATTCTGTCATCGCTTTCCCAATCGCCGAATTTTCGATGTCTCTGGGGTTACTAAAGAACTACATATCGAAAACACATAATAAGGATAGTGATCAGGCTTCAAAAAATTCTATATACTGGAGTATTTTCTCTAGGACATCGAAAATATGACAAAATAACTAAGGGCCACTTTTACCTGAAAGACGGAAAAACCATGAGCTGCAAACTAAATGCAGACCACATTTCCAACTAAGAGGCTCGAACTGAGCAGCTCTGTGAGGAATTAGTTCGTTCATTTGGAATGGTTATTAAAATTATAAATCAAATTAAACGTTCTAAGGCCGATGTTTAGTATTATTTTGAAAAACTGGCAATATGGGCAAGTTTTTTTAGTGATTTGTATGCTTAATGTACTAGCAACTTTTAGATCTAGACAGAGTAAAACTGAAAACGTAATTTATTTTGTTTTTTTCAAAATGTCATTTATTTCACTCAGTATTTTCACACTTTTTAACAAACTATGGAAATTAATCTTAAGTCTTACTCAGATATGACATAGTTCTTTCATTATTTGGATTGTCCAATTTTGGGTCCTTATTTAAAAATTACAAAAATTTAAGGATCTAGTAAACTATTGATTTTCGCCTATGCATATAACCTCATATAATTTAAACTTGTCGCATGTTTGACCCTCTACTCGTATCACGTCATGGAAGGAATACAGTGAATTACCAGTAACCCGGTATAGTTCCGTTCCAGGTCTACCAGTAACTAGTTACTATACACATTTATTCCATGCCTGTTTCAGTAATACCGATGCCTGTCTTACTAAGTAAGTACTACAGCTACAACAGCAAACCAAATTACTTGAACTACGCAAATCTAGGAGTATACATTGCAGACATACTGATTCAGCGATATGATATTGATACGATACAGGCTCATTCTTACTATGATAATAACACTCTAATAGAGTACACAACAAGGGTAGACTGTATTAACAGCCAGTTTGACATATTCAACAACAGTACCGTAAGTATAATTTATGGCTGAAACGTTTGCAAAATGTATTTGTTTAAATATTCCATGTATTAGTAGGGGTAGCTGAAATTATACTGCGTGTTTCAAATTCGACACTCACCATTGAGATCTCGCAAAGAGGAATGTGAGGTCAGTTAAAGTTGCATACTTCGTTAAATAAGAAAATGACATTTCGAATATTTTTTAAATACGGAAAGTGTCTAGACAAAGACGATTTTCTTTATTTTATCCAGTCTGTGAGATTGGATCAAACTACATCAAAACACTTCAAAATTGTAATTTTTTTATACCTACAAGATGACTTTACTAGATCTCTAGTAGACATAAGCACTCTATTTACCTATGCTAAATTCTCATACGGCGTCCATCAGCAAAACTAAACTTGGCAATTGAGAGCAGGAAAAGAAAAGTCGGGTTGAAATTCTGATTATGCCATTTTGTAGAGAAAAAATTGTGTCAATGCTAACATTCAAATTCCATTTCCCAGAAAATCTTAGATTTTAGTTTCTTTCGCCTACCTTCAGAAATGATAATTTCGAAATGTTCCAACTTGAATGCGCAAATGTAACATACGAAACATATCATGTCTGTATCGATAATCCCCAGTAAAATCTCATGCATTGACAGATCTTCCTGATGAAAAAGACCACATTTGTGACTGAAACGTTTACTACAGTAAGGAATATCTGTCAACACATATGGTTTCATTCGCCAGACAAGCATGGGGTGATATTGAACGCGAACTGTGTCGCCATTCACCCGATCACATATTTTTGAAAGATCTCAGTGATGAGGATCAATTTAAAACCGGCGATATATCAGGATTTTATCTGCTCATCTGGTCTGACCAGAAGCATTTTTTTGTTTTGTTTTTTGAGTCTAGTCAATCTCTATTTTACAGGCCTACTGGCGGAGAAGTATTGTAATCTCAAAAATTTTAGAAAATAAGATGTTATGTTTCTTGGATTTTGTATGACATGTACATCACGAAAAACTATGACACTCATTTTTGTTTGTCGGTCTGTGGGTCTGTCTGTCCGTTAATGATATAACCGCCTATAACCTGAGAAGTACCGCTCAGATTTTGATGAAATTTTTGCACGGTATTACTGCTGTGCGAAGGATGAAGAATCGATAATAATCGGTACAGTGCAGACAGAGGAAGAGACAAACGGAAAACATGAAAATCGTTCAAATTTCGTTTTTTGACGTGTCACTCTGATCATTTTTGAAAAAATGTTTAGACGAAAAAATTTTGAGTGAGGGGGTTGTACGGGAGTGGAGTCTGAATTTTTTGATGTCAATATATTTATTTGCTCCCAACCTTGGTAATTCTACGCACCTATTAGACATATCTCACAGATAATAGATTCCGTATATTAGCTCTCAAAACTCAATATAACAAAATATTCTCAGCAGACGGATCACGTATCTACCGGTCATGTCTGCACCCAGTGACGTTTTGCCATCCTTGGTTTTCTATATTTCACTTATTTCTGCCCTAACACAGCATAGTGTTTCCTATCCTGTGGCTGCGCTACCACGTTTGATCTGATTAGATCTGGGAGAGGTCACGTTGTCAGAAGGACTACTATACAGAAGGGGATAAGGTCTATGAACGAAATGTATGGAACTGTTTGACTGACTTTTCCAGAGAGTCTAGCTTGTGCTGAAAATAATCCTTGATAACTGTGCTGCGTGGAAAGCTCAGAGTCATCCTACTTGACGCAATTTTCTTCTTACTGATGAAACTATTGCTCCATATTAATATGTTGCAGGGTTGGACTTTTGAATACTTTGCTGACGCCGTAGCAATCGGTGTAGCATTTGAAGCATACGTTAAATGGGTGGAAGAAAATGGAGAAGAGGATTTGCTTCCAGGACTACCATTCACTCCGTATCAATTGTTTTGGTTACAAGCTTCCTCGAAATTCTGTCGCACTCCATTTGAAGACCAGGGTGAAGCATTTTGGAAAACCAGAATGGAATCCCCATTAAAACACAATCCGGCATTCGCAGAGGTGTTTTATTGTGATTTGGGAAGTGAACTGAATCCTAAGTGGGAAAGATGTTCTGTGTTTAAGTGATGAGCTCAGGGTTGCATAGTGGAGTCTCAGACATCAAAAGTTTATCAAAAACGAAAAATAGAACATGATCATAACATCGAAAAACTCATGCCTACCCAAGTTATTCTATCTGGTTCACTTATTTATCTACACTTAATATTTACCACATCGCAATCTAGTTTAAGCCTATATTTGCAATATCGCCTCAAATATGATAGTATTGTACTTTCCAAGATTAATGAAGTATATATATATATATATCATTTGAATCTAAATGTACTAAGCTAAATATTTGTTTGATACTAATGATAATAAACTATAAACGAGAGATAAAACAAAGGACCGATCTAAAATGCACCATGGGGATGATCGAAGTATTATACTCTACTTCTTTCGCCTATTATGTATTTAAACCTCATTTCACACCACGTTCAAATCCACGCGCTCCTGTTGCCTAGGAGCCATAAAAGCTTGGGCAGGCGGCGACAAGCGAACATAAGCGTCGCTCTAATGCGCATGTTTTGAGTAAATGATTTTTGAATAGGGCATAGTAATTATTGCAAACAATGTAAATACCTCTTAGAACACACATGTGATGCCATATAAGACTACTCGTTATTAAGAACAAAATAGTACTAAGCCAACAGCTTTAAAATTAATTGTTTGATAATAGTAAAAAATGGAACACTGATATTTTTAAAGTAACCAAACAAATACAATATTAAGGTATTACAAATAATTTTAATGCTTTATTTCAATGCCTATTTCTTAAAAAAATCCTATTCAAGTACATTTACCTGTAGCTGTAGTATTAGCGTTTCAAGGAGCAAATATAACTGGCAATAGACTTTAGATTTTCATAAATAGCAACTTTATTCAACATATATTTAATTATACACTACAAACTGACAAATATGTGGTAAGTAATACTGATCAAATGATGCTAAATTTATTCTAGATTTAGGTTCGTCATCCACCTTCATCTGTCTTGCTATCGCATTGGAAAACATCGCAGCTTTGTGCGGATAATCCTATGTTCATAGCGGCTTGCATTTCTGATAATGCTTGTTGGTACTTTGTATCATCTAGCTCGACCACCAACTTGGTTAGTTTCAGTACTAACGTTCCTGTTTCGATATACTTCTTTGCTTCCTCGGGTTGTTTGCAGGCTATACTTTGTAGGCAGCCTGGAGACCCTTAAATAGTAAAAAAGATTGGATATTATCTGGTAAAACATTATGTCTGTTGTGCCAAAATAAAAATCCAGTTCTATGCCAGTCCGAAAATGGTGACAAAATTTATTTTTTTCTCCAGATTTTTTCCTTGGACCATTGTGAACAAAAAAGGTGTTTATATGCTTTTCCCTAAAGTTAGTAGTTTTAGAGATGTAAGTGAATTAATATTTGAAAAAAGTACGAAGTGTATTTCCGATCCCAATAAGCAAAATTAAAAAACGAATATTTTAATGATTCCAAAGTTCCTAAATATTCAAAAAACACCCGTTAATAAAATCCCAAAGCACTTCATAAGATATTATTATTGTATACCTTTGTTTCGTAATTTCCAAACAAGCTAACGTTCGATGTATTTACTGTACGAGCATGCGCTTGATTAAAAATTAAAAAACAGGTTTACAATAACAATACCTCATAAAGTGACTTGAGATTTCTTTAACGGATATTTAGGAATTTTGGCAATTTAAAACTAATCATTTTTTAATACTGTTTTTTGGAGTCAAAAATGGCATATTTCGCACTTATGCAAATATTAAATCTTTTATATCCCGAAAACTATCAACTTTAAAGAACAGTCCATTGAAACCTTTTTTTCAAAATATCCGAAAAAAAACCTAAAAAAAGTTGCTCCAAGTACAATAAATACTGCGTGAGTATTCGTTTGATTGACAATTAAAAAACATGGTTACAAAAACAGTACCCCAAAACGGTTTGGAATTTTGTTAATGAGCGTTCCAACACTACTACACAGCGTCAGCCACGCGAAATGACTGCACGTGAAAGCTTCTCGTAGCGTGTGCCGATCTTTGATGATCATGGAAATTCTCCAAAAAAACAGTGTTTTTTTCAGAGTGTTACCCTGTTTTATTATATTAGATATCCTGATTCGGACTATTTGGACTGATATCCTGTAGGTTAGCGACGTTTTGAGGGCATTGTTTGCTTCTGTGTCAATACAACCTTGGGAGGAGATGCTCTAGCAAGCCTTGTCCTCAAAATGGCTGAATCACTTACCTGAAAGAAAACTCAGAAACATCATAACTTCTTCATCGTTCATGGTAAGAATACCATCTTCACTTCTCGCATAGTGATGGCTGCCATAATGGCCAAAGCCCAGATGGCTCGCAGCAAATATGACTACTTTCAAAAGGATCAAGATGAGAAGATTGGTCAGGTTAAAAGACACAATTTGTGAAGATCCTACTCCTGAAGTACCGTAACCTCGTGTCATTAAATTTCCCATAAACGACTCCAGGCCTCTGTAAAAGACATATTATGTACGAGGATGTGACACTGCCAGCTATGAATAGTTCGCCAATTACGGTACTACCGACATCTACGTCGGTAAGAAGAAACTAATTTCCCGGCATTTTTGATTGACAGCACACTTCAATGGCCATGTTTGCACCTTGGGTAGCTTACAACAAGACTAACTATACCGTCACGTTAATACCACCTGTGCTTATCCACTGATTCATTTACACCTCATGATCACGAGCATTGCCAAAATCGTACAAATACGTCGATTATTGTACATTATCGTACACAGTGGCGTAGGTAGGGGAGGGGGGTGCACAGCTGCCCTTGCCAATGCAGTCTATTGGTGTCAACGGTGTCAACTGAAGAGTAAGGAGGGGTGCAGGTGTAAGACTACTTCGAAAATAAACAACATAGACTCAAATAGACAATTGTATTTGCGGGTGCTTGCTGGTGACAATCGCCGAGTGAGGGAGAGGGGGGTGGCTAAATCAGCATCCAAGAGTAGAAATGCTCTTTCGCAAAATTATGGTACATTTAGCTATTATCGTACACATAGTATCATACATCGTATAGTACTTGACATTGTCGTACAAATACTACAAATATCACACGTCTGGCAACACTGTCACGGGATAAACATCATTGGTGTCGTGTTAAGGGTTTATCGTGTAATTCAAATGGTCTAGTGCTGCTCCAACTATTTGAACTGCATGGTCCTGTGGTTAGCTACCCATAGTGTAAACATGGTTGATAAATCGGACAAGTATCGCCGACGACACAGACGTTATCATCAATCAGGGAACTACTAAGTACTCAACTGTTTCGTCAGATATCCTTTGACGTGGCAATTAAATATTAACCTATCATTGCTTTTTAATTTTGCAAAATGAGAGACTAGAATTATACGTGCTATTCAGATTTGTATTAGGCTTCAAAGAGTTCTGTATTCAAGTGGAAATGTGGAAAAATAAGCATATATTGTGGCTTATTACTAAATCCATCGATTTTCATTACACAGCATTACCAAAAAAGTCGAGATCCGTGATATTTCTAAACATTTTTCGAGAATAAATCCGAATCCAGGGACAGGAGAGTTTCTAGACGTCTATAAATCACCCCGAGATCAAAAACTACCCCTTGGAGCGGTGAAAATTAAGTTTCGGATACCAGATGCTGGAGCATGGTATTGCCATATATTTTTAGACGCTGAACCCAAACTTGTATTCCAAAAGATCCCTATAGATCACCCTCTTCCCAAAAACTAACCCCAAGAGTGATGAAGATTGAACTTCGGATGCCAAATGCTGTAGCATGGTATTCCTATGTAGTTTACATTCCTGGAATTTGCCCTCGTGACCAAAAAACTACCTCTAAGAAGGGTGAAAAATATATTTAATGAATACAACACGGTATTCCTGTATAATCTGCGATGCTCAGTCTATAGTTGAGGCAAAAAGATGAACCTCACCCCCGACATTAAAGCTACCCATAATGTCGGGCGGAAATTGAGTTTCGAGTGATGGGTGCTAAATCGTTATATTGTTGGATGCATATTTTGGCAGTCTGATGCTTTTTTGCACGCTGAACCCTAGATGGTCCTGACAAGGTTACGGTTAGGCCATACATACGTGATGTACCGTATGGTATGCCTTGAAATAAAAAATCTTGAAAAGTTACAAGATCATTCCGGTAGGTGAGGAAGTGCTAGTGTAAATATATTGGAGACCTTAAGTTCGGATTCAAGGTCAAAAAATACATAGGAATACGATGCTCCAACATCTGTCACCCCGAACTCAATCTTCACCACTCGCAGGGGTAGTTTCTGAGAGCGAGGACAAAGTCTGGGAGTTTAGGGATCTTTTTAGCCACAAATTAGGATTCAGCGTCAAAAAATACATGGGGATACCAACCTCCAGTATCTGGCATCCGAATGTTTACCCGTCCAAGGGTGAATTATAGACGTCTAGGAACTTTTTTGGTCCTATTTCGGATCCAGCGTCGAATAATACATAGGATTTCATGATCTGACTCACAGATCTCGACCTTTTTTATAGGGCTGTGTTATCTGAAACAATCATTGGATCATCCCTGTCCCAAATGGAATCTTGTCGCATATTTCTCTGGCTTAAAATAATATACTCTGCACTTACCTGGAAGTTGGATTTATGTCATTGTTGATGACAGATCCTTTAGCTGAACTGAACAAAACCACTGCTAAAACTAACACTACCACACAACTTCTTCTCGCGCTCATCGTTTCCTTCGGAGTGCCTCCAAAGGAAAAATCTCATTGTTTTTATAACGTCGTTTTTTTCTACGATTCATTATTTTGATGCACGAAGATGTGCAACACGTATTGTTTGTTACTTATTTTGTGTTGGTTTGTCACTATTGTTTCTGCTCCACATCACTGAAAAATCTGTCTGTCGGAGGAGAACGTTACGACGTAATCGTTGATGTCATTCAAACTTTCTTTTCATAAGAATCAAGTGAGAGTTTTCATATTGTTTCTGTTAGTTATATTATCACTGTAGATATGTGCATTTTACGTGCTTTTTATAAGAATCAAGTGAGAGTTTTCATATTGTTTCTGTTAGTTATATTATCACTGTAGATATGTGCATTTTACGTGCTTTTTATTGGTATAGAACTTCAGAAGAAATGTTAAACTTCTGAAGAATTTGGGGTGGTGTGATTGCCGACAAGTGCCTGATGTTGGCTTCTAAAGCTTCCACCGTCTCTTTGTTATTGGTGTAGATTAGTACTTTACATATTCCCACGGCAAATTATCCATAAAAGTAAGATCGAACGATTTTAAATACCGGGTTAGACCCATAGTGAGATTAGTGCTTGATGTTCATCTGATTGCTTCTAAAAGCGTAAAACGCTACGATTTCCTGAAGTTGTCCAATTCATTCAAAATATTTTACATCAAGGCGTATTTGGATAAATACCGTTTGATCACAGGGTAAAAGAAAAAAAAGAAAATGTATACAATTATATCTTTATTATTGTGCTACAGTTATGTACAGCATCATTCAATTTACAATTTGCATCAACCTATTTGACTGTTTATTGTCCACTGTCATGAAAAAGCTGTTTTTTGCTATATTATCCTCTCCCATTCATATTTCCTCAATATATATGCAAAAGGAAGAGCTTAATGCTAGATGATGCTTTTTTGATGTTTTTCCTTTATTTCTGCATTATATGTATCTTCAATCTAAACCAGAACTAATTTTATTCCAAGTCATTACTAAACTTGTTAATCAGAAGAACAGTGAAAAAACAATAGTTCTCTGTTCAGAAAAAAAAAGAATAGTTCTCCACTGAAAACAATTGAAAACAATTTGTTTACATTTTTTACTGCTCATCCCATCAGTAATTCCTCCTTGTTTATTTTGTTGAACCTCCAGGTGTTAGACTGTATTACCTACATTGACTTTAAAATTTAGCATGTTTGACCCTTCCGAGTCATAATTTTACGTAGCTGTACTGGTGCTGGTACTTGCTTTCCCTGACCTCCTGTTTTTGCTTCTTTTGCCAGCTATGAATTCTGAGTACGTCAAGTAACCGTCCTGATCTACATCATCTTCTTGCAGAACCTCATCTATCAATGCTGGAATATTTGAAAACATCATGAAGCCGAATTATCCATTAGAGCCTATTGAATCTAAACAGCGTATAGTTTTTCTGTTTACCAAATAAGTACACCTGATGCTCTGACGATGCATTCGATAACAAACTTAACGGTGATCATCCAGTGAAATTTTGTTGTTTTGTGTCCCTGATTGTTGATATCAATTTAAGTTATAAATTCTTGGGATTCGGCCCATACAAAACATTTATTCAAAATACGACGTTTAGGTGACTTCGTACCTGAATAAGTCGCCGAAACTCCGTATTTTTAATAAATGTTTCAAGTTGACCGAATATCAAAATATTATAACTTGAATCTTCTGTGAAATTGTGTGAATTCAAACTGTTGAATCTGTCGTTAGGATCAGTGGCCTCCGGAAATAATAACGACTTCGACTTGCTGGGGCCAATGATCTCCAATTTCGTCAAAATAATAACAGCCTCACCTATATAATGTTCAATGACAGCCATTGAGTCGGTATTGTTTTCTTCGTGCTGGTTCTCCTCATGTTCTTCGTCGTCAGTGTGATATATAGCATGTAAAATTTCCAAGCCATCCAGTTTACTATTCTTGTCCGTATCATGCAATTGGAAGTAATAAAACTCCAGTTCCTCGTCGGTCATTTTAGACAAATCTGGTTTTGGAATAACTTCTTCTAAGTGTTCCTGAAAAATACAATATTTTAACAAAAATACAGTTTTTACTGTTCAAAGTGTAATTTATTACTATACTAATTTATGACATATTTATAATCATGTCTACTGGACTATGTTGACGGGCCTGTTGCTGCTCGTTATCTGTGACTGGCTCCTTCCGCCACCTGGTCGGGTATTTATTCCCCTATCGACGAGTCGAGAAACATTCCAGCGTTTTCGCGAACTTCCGTGGCAGCAGATCCATCTCCAGATGTGTCGAATATTTGCAATGGCGTAGCGAACGGTGCAGGCGCCACCACGTTCTATATACGTATGGACGCGTAATTATGGTTGCCTAAGCATCGATTCCACTTCTGGCCATCTGTCGAATCTTCTATCTGATGTACATACACGGATATCTCTCGCTGGTACCAGAGTACCAGCTATACGAGGGTGTTACAATACGATCATCAACTAGATAGTAATAAACTAAAACATCACCGGTAATGGAGAATGGCTAAACTAATAACACCCGTTGATTTTCACCGAGGGTTAATAGGTAACATAAATATATTATTGGTGCGAGATGATCATTACCTGAATATGATCTTTATCATGTAAAAGCTGTGCATCTTCGTTAATTTTTGGAGATGATTTTGTAGGTCTGTAATGTACGTGCCTCTTCACCACTTTCCCTCCTCTAGGATGATGAGGGCCCTTCGCGTGCACAAAAGTGCTTACCACTGTGAGGAAAGACAAAATGACTGCGATATACATCTCAGTTATTTCAAAGGCCAATCACCTGAAATAAATGAAAATAGCGCTAATAATTTTTGGTGGTACCTTTCGTGCAAATAGCTTGGGTGTTGTGTAATGAGTCGGCATATGCTTTCTCGCATTCATATTCCTGTATCGCCTGCCGGACTCCTGAGGATTAAATACTTACTACTATACATATTTTTGTTATGGATTGTTCAGATTTAATTAAATTAAATTAGACTAACATTAAAAGATCAGGGCGAGGGTAAGGTCATTTTTAGAACAAAACCAGAAATTCACTAAGCGAAATTCTGAATGTATTTTGTCAACTTAATAGTACATTTTGAAAATAAGATTTGTAAATAAGTAGCTAGAAAAAAGATTCGCAGATGTCAAAGATAGACGGGTTCGTCTTTATGATATATTCAAGCAGGTGGTTGTAACAGTGAATCTCATGAATACATATGGCCCCGTGGGGCGCTCAGCCTTTCAATTTCCGACTTCCACCACCCTTGTACACTTGTGGCCGACACCCTTGTGGAGCGCAGAGAGCACAGATGGACCTGCACGCCCTCTCCAAGAGTAACCGGAGATGTTATCGGACTCTAATGACGGTGTCCGCGGGCTATTCGCGAATACAGCGGCGCCAGCTGCACAAGGGTTCGGAAGTCCGAAAACGACCAAAACTAGAAAAATTCACTAAATTTCACTAAAAACTTAATTTATTATTTTCGAGCTCGATAACGAATATGAATCCATTTTTTGAAAATGACGGGTCCAACATGGCAAACATGTTTGGGCTGCGCTCGACTTCAAATTTAGTTTGTTGTATGATGAAGACGCTAATAATGAATTTGGTATAGATTTTTCGAAAATCAAAATGGCGGATTCAATATGGTTGACATGTTTGCAGAAAATGTTTCGGTTTAGTTCATATAAATATAAATAACTAATTACCAAAATTTGGGGATGCAATATCACTTGAGATGGGATGTTCATATAGCTAACATTACAAACACCTTACGACAACTCTTATATCGCTTTGAATACTTAAAACATCTCATTGACTACATGCACTTGAAAATGTTGTATTCTTCATTAATTGAATCACGTCTACGATACGCTATTGTAAGTTGGGTAAGTGCCGCGTATTGTCATTTGCAGCCTCTGGATATACTGCAAAAAAGAATGTTGAAAGTAATATCTGGCAAAAAAATTACTTATCCTTCTGATAAATTATTTTCAGAGGCTGGAATGTTTGACCTAAGGCAACTGTTTCTGCATGAATTAATTCAATTCATATACAAACACAAAAACAACTTCAATAAAACTAGTCATGCTTATCTATAGTACTAGATATAAAGAAAATGAAAACTTAAAAATACAAATTTTTCAAAGAAATGTAAGCTTGCGATGCCACACCTACCTATCATGTAAAATTTATAATTGCTTGCCATACATGTGCAGTATGTATGTTGATAAAATAAACTCATTGTCTTTGATAAAATTTTTATTTAAAAAATATCTTTTTTTTAATTGGTAGACAAGAGACACGAAATCTAGTAGAAATTATTTACTAGAAATTGTACTACGTTAGTATTACTCCTCCTCACCCTCCATATTTCTGATATTAGTGGAATAAACTTTAATATATAAGTGCTACTCCTCCTTACCTTCTATACTTACAATGTGCTTGTTGTATAAAATCCTGCTCTAAGCAAACTTTATTATCAAAAATATATCAAAATAAAAAATCTGCCCGTGCACAATCAACTATTTTGGTTTCAATGGGCTTTACAAGACAATTTAAAAAAATTTCTGTGACTTATAAAACATGCAAACCTAAGATTATTTTGTGAATGTCAGGTGTTATGTTTTATTTTACGTTTATTATTGTACTGAAGTTAGCATTTGTATTTATTAACACATTGTATTTTGGGGGAAATAAACGTATACTACTACTACTATTCATGTTTTTACACACAAAATCCGTAGCATTTTATTCCTAGGCATATGCGCATTCTACTCCCCTTGAAATATAAATGTGGACGCCGCTGACTTGCACCCCTTCATTAGCCCGTCATTACAATCCGTACTTGTGTTGTCAACACTTACATTTCAATGAGATTCAATAAAACTCTGCACTCCATTACTGGGTGCACGCTCCCCACTTTTATGTCACCCTCTTCAATGTCGATGACAAAGGGCACCGTGTATCCAGGGCATTCAGGGATTATTATTGACAAATTTCGGTCAAGTAGGCGAAACAATGCTACGTTATTTTTGTACAAATGACAATCAATGGACTGGAGCATCTGGACTAGTTAACTCATAGGAAACGAGCATGTTGTGCAAACAATACTATTTTTGAAATTGTGGTCGATACAATCTCAAAAAGTTTACTTTTTTAGGTCACATCACCAGCCTCTTGTATGAGCGCTGTTCAAATTTTGGTAAATCGTGTATTTGTGGCCATTCTAGGGAAGTCGGGTTGTGCTAGAAATTTAAACCGCTAAAAAGGAAGGAGTCTTTACTAAAAATGTGGAACCGATTTATACCTTAGATCTAAAACGTTAGCTGAAAAGCAATGGATATACTCCTATAAAGCTAATAAATTGCGAAGCTTTTATTGCTACTTACATGGTATTGACATAAATTAGGTCTACTACTTGAATAAGGTGTAATAATGTGAGGTTATATAAAGACGATTCTATCCAACTGTAGGAGCATGCATATAAAATCAATAAAAACTCCCCAAGCTTGCGCGCTGCTATATAAACTTGATACAGGGAGGGATCTTCCTTACCCTTTACTTCCTTCAGGTGACCAAATTAGTTCATCGTTTTGTCACTTGATTGCGCTGGTACACTCCTTTCTTTTGTCCGATTATATCATGTGCTACAACTAGTTTTAAGATAACATAAATTATAATAAATAATAATAATAATGGTTTATTGTTGTTGTTACACAGATCCTGCTTACCCAAGTCGATAATAAAATTGAAGAAGCCTAGTAGCAAGCAGAAAATGTATGTCAAACAATATAAATAAATATATTCAATAGAAAAATAGGTTCATTAGGTGCTAAAATAGTAGGATCAGGCCAGTGGGCAAACCGAAGCTTCGACGTCGGCTTCGCTTTCGGCCAAAAAAATACACTTTCGGTCACACACTCGGCAAAAAAAGGTCGAAGATTTGGCTAAAGGACGGAGGTTGCATGATAATTGCCCTTACGACAAATTTCGCAGTTGAAATAATGTGTACCTTGAAAGTCAAATTGCATATCATGTTGGTCGGCGAACTTAGGGACAATTGGAACACCTTCTGTAAGGCGCTAAGGAACGTCAGAATATTGTACGATTATGGGCTTTTACCTAATTCTCCTGTTGAAACCGATTAGGTAGTTGGTACCAGTTCACATATTTTGTAAGACGATCATTCCTTCAAGACTAAACATAAGGAGATAAATAACCATTTTACTATAAGTTTTCGTCAAAGATTCACTTCATAATGATCGTTGACATTGACTATATCTAATTACCCCATTTTTAAGAAATAAAAGGATTCGAATAGGTAGTCGTTTTTTTTTTCAAAAATTGAGCGTATTGCAAGATATAATTTTGAAAATGTCTCACGAAATCGGGTGTTTCATAAATGTCCCTGTAAACGTGTTTAAATTCTTATTTCAAATAAGGTTTTTACTTCCCATGCCCACTGGCAAGGAAGTATTGTGATCGCAAAAGAATTCAAAAATGAGATATTATCTTTTTTTGGACGTTATATTACAAGTACACCACGAAAAACCATGTCACTCATTTCCGTCGGTCAGTCTGCAAATTCTTAGTCCATCTATAACTTGGAAAAGACTCATCACATTTTGATGAAATTTTCATACAAGGTTACTAGTATGCCAAGGACGAGCTGCGTAGATTTTGAAACGAAAATAATAAAAAATCGCTCAACTTCGTTTTTTTCACGATTCAGAGGCTCCTGATCATTTTCGGAAAGCGCTGTGAAGGATGGAAACTGGGGGTTAGGAGTCATAGGGTAGAGGGGAGTATATCTCATTTTTTATGTCGGTAGTATACGCTTCCAACTCCGCTAATTCTATACACCTAACAGTATGTACGAGTATATTATACATCATAGATGTCCCCGTACATTTGCTCTTAAAACTTGGAGAATTATCAAACGGACGTGTCGAGTCTAGATCTCACTTGCCGTACGCTACGAACTCACCTCGGTGCTCATAAAATCCTGCCTGACACCCAGTCTTTAACCTCTCACGGCCCCACTGTTCAAGCTTACCAGCGTAGTATGGCCGACTTTGCAAAATGGTCGATACTGTCAGTAAGAGCAGGGAACAAGCTTCTAGATCGCAGAGTTACCAAATGGGTGGAGCTACAAGCTAAGTGTATGTGCCTGTTTGGATCACTTAATCCATTAGCAGGAATTTTATATTATTTCGATCTGAATGCAACATATTTGAGTAAAGTTAGGTATCCATAATCATCAAATGATTACGTTTTGTCTAATAAGTTCCGATACAACACTGCATTCAAAACTGGAATCACAACTGTAATCAACGTCACAACCCGCATTTTTTATTAAACAAACATTCGACTTCGGCTGAATCCTTGCACCTCAAATCAATAGATTCCGAAATATACTAAGTGACACATAAATCCGAACACCCAGTTTAAATGGTTTTATTTTAATAAAATTTTGTATAAGTACTTAATGAAGCATAATAAGTAAATGATAAAAATTTCAAAATGATTGCACTGCTTTAAAGCCCTTTGACCTTTAATAATGTGTGGATGCACCCTGATGTTCTACGCATTCTCCAACGCGCCTAGGCATGCTTCTGATCAGGTGGTCAATGTCCTCCTGTGGTATCTCATTCCAGGCAACCACCAACTCCTCTCGAAGTGCTTCTAGAGTCTGAGGAGGACGTTGCAAATTGAGCAATCTCCTACCCATCATATACCACACGTGCTCAATTGGGGATAAGTCGGGAGATCTTGGTGGCCATGGTAACAATGTGACATCATTATGTTGAAAGAAGTCTATTGTGACTCTTGCAACATGTGGTCGAGCATTATCTTGTTGGAAAGTTGGATCTGCCAGGGTGTCAAGATAGGGTAAAAGATGGGGTTCTAGAACTTCGTGGATATAACGCTGCACGTTCATGTTACCTCTGATGAAGATTAAAGGTGACCTGGAACCATAAGCTATAGCACCCCAAACCATAACTCCAACAGTGTGATGAACATGTCTTTCAACAAAAAACTGTGGATTCCTCCTTTCACCACGTCGCCTTCTAACCTTGGCATGACCATCGTGCATGCCTAAACAAAATCGAGACTCGTCACTAAAGACAATACTGTTCCATTCCTGATCCCAGAGTGAACGTTGTCTGCACCACTCAAGGCGATTACGTCGGTGTTCTCGAGTTAAAGGGAGGACCCAGTGTGGCCGGTATGAAAACAAGCCAAAACTTCTCATTCGTCGGTAAATACTTCGCATGCCAATAGGTCTTCCGTGTTCTGCAAACCATTCATTTGCAATGGACCTGGTAGTGGAGAAACGGTCCCTTAAGGCCAATAATCTTAGGCGGCGATCTTCACGGTCTGTTGTTCTACGGCGGCGTCCAGTGCCCCTTGCTCTTTGCGTACGGCCTTCTCGAAGCCATGCCTGACAACACCTAACCACAGTGTCTACACTTCTTTGCACTCTAACTGCAATTGCCCGAAAAGAAAGTCAAGCTTCCCGAAGTCCCACTATATGGCCCCTATCAAACTCACTAAGTTGACGAAATCGTACAGGTCTCCGTACTCTAGGCATCGTAACCGATCGTAAAGGATGTCAAGAACCAAAATCCGCCAACGTTGATTCTTTACTGCGGCTGAAATATTCATTTTTAGAGCGTTAGTGAATTAAAAAAAAGGCAGTATAAAAACCGGAATGTCAACTGATAAGGCTGAAAATTTTTTCACTTGTTACTTACAGTAAGATTCACCAACTTTTA